TTTTTTTTTATTATCATCCCATTTACCCCACCTAGTCACAAGGAACACAACAATTGAAGATAATTAGCGCCCAGAGCACAAACAAAACAACAAAACAACAATGTATCGGATGACGGACAAATGATACATATATCTCAGTAAAAATCAAAGCTCCGATTTTTGCCATATTTGGTTTGACGCTATTTACATTATTTGTTAATGCAACATTTGAATTTTAAATACTTGCCGTTATGTTTGTCATGTTAGTAATTATGTAAGTAGGGGTTAAATTCATTTATATATTTTTTTTATTGGGTAAAAAGTAGTTGTTGTATAGAACATTGTTTGTTTGCTGCATTTACCATGCCATTGATATTCCCAAATCGTATAACGGGAGTCGGAAAATTTTTTTTCGTAAAATTTTATTTTTGAGAATTTTATCATTCCTGCTTTAAAGAAAAAGTACCAATGTCCCATGGAAACGTTGTTACGGGATGACATGTACGACTCATTCGTCAACTTTTTTGTTAAAGTTTACTATTAGTCCGAAACAAGTATTACCAGGTCCCAGGAAAAATTTAAAACTTTAAACTTATATTTACTTTACTTTGGGAATTTCCCCAAGATGTCTCAAACGTGGCGCAGCCACGCGATTCTAATTTTGGGAATTGTTTTGATCATTAATGGGAACTAGGTAAATATTTGAAATATATATTTGTCTCACCTTACACTACCTTTGTATTTCATCTTTGGTCTTTTTATTTGACGAATTTTTTGTTTACTTCTTTTTTCACACTTTGATTTTTTTTTAAAAAATCCTTTACATATTTCATTTTTTTTTTCGTCATTCGCTGGTTCATTCCCAGTTTTTTGTGCTCTTCTACTCTAAATTTCTCTGGGAGCTCTTTACGGGATTTAGCGGTACAAAAAGCCTCACCTTTTTCCCTTAAATTAATTTGTAATGAATGAAATAATTTAAACCCTTCCTTTTCCTTTACTAATGAACATTCATTTCATATTATAGAATTTATTTTTCTCCTTTTATAATGAATAGGACGAAAGTTACGGTGGCATGCCGAGCATGTCAAAAGAAGAAGGTAAAATGTACGGGAGTTTCTCCTTGTTCGAATTGCCTCAAGACCAACCTTCGATGCGAGTTTACCGGGACCGCAAAGAAACGTGGTCCACGCAATGGTAATGTCGAGGTGATCAAAAGTTCTGCTCGTAGGATCGAATATGTGATGCGAAAGAACCCGAATCTGAGAGATCAAATTAATCATATGTTGGCACATAGCAACGCTCGTCCTGATGCTCGTTCGGCGAGACCTTCCTCAGTCATTCCCCATGACGTACCTATAGTCTTAGTAGAAGATGATAGTGGAATCACTACAGACGCTTCTCAATCTCACGGAATTCCACCTTCAATTAGGCGCACCTCTCTTCCCTCCAATTCAATTCCGCCTATGCAAGAATATTTTTCACCGGATGAACATGGTAGGGTCTTGTTCAATAAAATAAAAAGAAAAGTAAAAGTTTCCACTTCAAAAAATTTTAAATTTTAATTCTTTTTCCTTCTCCCCGCGATGAATTTTAGTTTCACATCCTTCCTACAATCCCGAGACAATCAATTTACCCCAGCCGCAGTCACCTGCCTTGCTAAAACCCGTTCCTGTGTATCCTATGCGAAATCACGTGGCAAATGAACGACCTGAGGACAATTATTCGAGACATAATCCTACGTACCTTGGATCAAATTTTGTTCCTATCCCCCCAATGGAAACTTTACAAACAAGCACAGATCGTATGAAATTACCGATGCCCAACCTTATCGCTTGTAAAAAAAGGTCAACACCTATGCCAATTGTCATTACCTCTTCCGGCATTGAAGTCTTGCTACCTCCAGCACCGGATTTGGCAAATCCTCTTTCACCTCCGCCCTCCAATCAAAATCAAAATCAATATCCAATTGATTTACCTCCATTGGCTCTTTCAGTTCCTTATTGTAATAAATCATATCCTGATATGAATACACCTCCAATGTCGACTGTTCCTTTGCCATCGCCGTCATCTTCTTCAGATCTTTATAATATGACTTTTGAGAAGTCTCAAGAAGATTCGTGTCCCCCAACTCCGCCAAACTCCTTGTCTCCACCATTGTCTCCTCGTGATACTTGCCTACATGTCGAGCGTCCAATGACATGGATGAATAAGAAATATTCGTTCAACTATTCACAACAATTATAAATAAATTGAACAATTGAAAATGGAAGAAATTATTTTTATAACGATTTACGTATAACTATCTTTATTTAAAGAAACCGAACATTAGCGAACCATCAACGATTATCATGATTTAAAAAACACCCCCCCCCCGGTATTACACGATTCTATCGTAATTTTATTTATTGTAACGACTTATTTTTTTTTTTTTTACTTTCCCTATTTTTCTATAATGCCTCCTCCCACAAGTATGATAAGTTTCACTTTTTTTTTTTTGTTTTTATTTTTTTTTTTTTAAAAAAAAAAAAAAAAAAATCAACAAAATCTTGCATTAAGCTAAGAAAAAATACACATTTAAAAGTAAATATATCGACTAGAATTAATTTAAATAGAAATTTCATACATACATTTTTTTTATATGCTTTATAAACTTCCTAATTACCTAATTTATATGTATTCCTTTTTTTTTTTTAAAAAAAAAAAAAAATAATTATTTATACGTAGTTTTACTAAATATCCGCATTAGAATTATTTAATTTTAGATTTCGAAGAATTATTTTTTTTTTTTAATTTTTTATATATATAGATATTTATTTCTCCTTTATAACATAAGTTATAAACAAATTATGTTTACCGCGTATCAATGCTTATATAATTCTGTACATATTCGTCCTTTTTTTTTAATATATGTATATATATTACTTGGGAATCTTAGAATTCGCGTGAGAGGCATAGCCTTTCTTTATACGATCGATTTAATTTATTTTAGAGAAAAGCATACAAATGATGATATTTATGAATTGGATTTTTTTTTTTTTTTTAATGTTTTTTTTTAGAATATATAGATAAAACGAAGAAAGATGATAAGTAATTTATGAAGAAAAAAAATTATTTTGGCAAAATAAAATTTGAAATTTATTTAAAATTATGACACAAAAAATTGGATTGTTTGTTGATAATCTTTTATTTTTTCACATTAAAAATTATCTGAAAATAGAAAAGATTATTATTAATTGTAATTGAAATACTAAAACTTAATCTTGTTTTTCTAAAACGAAATACAGTTCCTTTAACATGTGATTTTTCAAAATCAATGCTCTTTGGATGAATCGATCGAATTTCCTGTCGAAATGTTTAAAGATTGAGATGCTCTTTTGATTACATATCATTTAAAAATGTGTGTAACGCGAATTCCAGTAATCTCTTTGTCACTTATATGGGGAGAAAGAAACCTTAAAAAAAGATCTTGGATCCATAAATTTAATTTGAGCAAATAAGGAAAATTCTGCGGATAAGATTGAAATCGATCTGTTATGTTTCCGACCAAATATTCATCATGTTTTTTTTTGGTCTTCTCGATTAGCCAATTAAAAGATTTCAACTAACTGGAACAGGAACCATTGTTCTCGGATATATATTGTATAGGTTTGCATTTTCTGTAATGGTTCGGTGCCCATGCACATCTTTACAGATTTTGTATCTTGGTCTACGGTTTCTAGATGCAAATTAAAATTTTTTGGATTAACCCGAACAGGGATTAAGATTCTATAGGTGGCATATTTAACTTGTTTCGAACGTGTTTTGTAGCACCTTGACCTTCTTTTAGATGAACCGATATGTTTCAAATCAAACAATTCAACCCTTTGTTTATTTATTCTTGATATATCTTACTGTACGTGCGACAAGAAAAGTATTATTGTCTTGCTTAATTGGGAAATTTATGACAACCGTGTGATAAGTAGAAACGATAAGGAGGTTGAACAAAGAAAGTAAAGCATGTAAATTATAGTTTTCATATTCCACTTCTTTAGATCTTTAGATCTGGACGGTGATCAACCATCTTTGTTCATCAAAACTTTCTCAAGCCTTGCAACTTGAAAGTAAATCACGCCATACTAAACCAACTATTCATCATCCTTTAAAAGAAAAAATTTTTTTTTTTTGCTTCTGTTATATTAAGGAATTTTTCTTTTATCAATGGTTACAATGAACAAGTAAAATATCAGTATAGACTCGACCTTCTTCTTGTTCTCCTCCAATGAAATGTTTTCGCGACATTGGATGATCCTCTGGTCTCCTATTTTATTTTCTACATAAAATCAAGGATGTAGAAATTACAAAAAACAAAAAAAACAGTCTGTTCATTACGTAATGGATCGTGATAATCAAATTAGATCAAATTTATCCTTTTAAATCATTCTCGTGATCTACCGAAATTATATAAATGGTTTTCTCAAATCTTTTCTTATTCTTTTAAAAATGATTTTAAAAGATATTTTAAGAAATATTTCAATAATAGTAAACTCTTCAAATGCAAATGTTCAACCTATAATTGATTCGATTGAAAAATTCATTACAACACAAGAATTTACCGCAGAACAACATAAAGCTGACAAAATTGAAAAAATTTCTTCCGAATTACATCAGTTGTACATTGCGATAGAAGATTTTCCTAATAAATTTTGTAGTTTTTTAAAATGTTTAAGAGCATTATTACCTATATTAGGACCCGATATTATTATATCAGATTGGTGGGATAATGTATTACTTAATGTGCTACAATCACCTTTACAACCAAAAGAGATTGTTGAACAAGTAAAGGAAATAGTTCAAGATGTTTTAGTATGTGAAACTGATAAAGTTTTGGAATTTAGAAAGGATATACTCGTTTTATATTTAAAAGAATCTAATTCGGTGGGAAAGGCTGCTGGAGGGGAGGAAGGTATCGTTGGGGAACAAGTTCATGCATTCTGGTGTCGTAATTTAGATAGTGTATTAAGGGGATTTGGTGCTGTTAAAACCAAGGTAATTAGATCAAGTAAAACATTTCCTTATGTTTGTCAATGATTTTGCTTTTTTTTTTAAAAAAAAAAAAATTTTATTATTTTTTTTTTCTTTCTTTAGGAATTTTTTATTTTATTAAATTCATATTTTATTCAAAGACTTTATAGGCTGCAAGTCTTAACACTATTTGGAGAATTCATCAGAAAACAGGTTTTTTTCTATGATTGTATATGATTACTTTAAATTCTTTTATTTTTGTGACTAAATCTTTTGTTTTTCATTTTTAAGAATTCACATATCCATCAAATCTTAGAAACTCCATTACTCGATTCGTTATTAACTTCACTTCAGGTAATTAAGTCAAATTATATATATATATATTTTTTTTTCACAAAATTAATGAATCTTATGTTACCAAAAAAATTTTATAGCAAGACACGTCTACAACTTTACTTTCACTTTCACTCACATCATTAATTATGTTACTGCCTCATATATGTACATCCGTTATTACTTACCTCCCAAGGCTATACATTATCTTCGTTAGGATTATATGTTGGGATAAACATAATGCAAGACTTATTGATTTCGAAGATGAAATTATAGGGAATGATGATGATGGACAAGAAACTTCAGGAGCAGTAAATGTCGTAAATTGGGAGCAATGTGGTATAATGAACTTTTAATGAAAGTGCTAATTTTTTTTTTATATTAACAAATCCTTAATCTTAATTCTATTTTTTCCAATAGATTCTTCTTTTGATAATGTGTCATCCAGTCCACCAAATTGTATGCATCTCTTTACGTTTTTGTATGGTATGTTTCCGTGCAATACCGTAAAATTTTTGAGGAACCCGACTGCGTGGTTCAAAGAAATGGAACAGGTCACTACAGTAGATGATGAGATCGATGATGAAATTATAAGAGCAAGAAGTTTGGTAATTAATACGAGAATAAGTGACAAAATTTTTGAAGGGTTTTTTTCTAAACTTTGTATTAAATCTATATTTTTTAGCCATTATTGCGACGGCATAAACTTCATCCAAGTCTTATAACGAGTGATGCCGAGAAGGAACTTTCTGATACATCAAGATGGATGAAACTCGAACCTGCTGATATAGTTGCCGAATATGTTAGCTATGATATGGAAAATGCTACTAAAAACTATGATTCAAATGAGTTGGAAGGTTTCACTAAAGTGTTGAAGGAAGCCGATACGACAGCATCTGAGGTGACAACTGAAAAGGCGAGACCTCTCTCACAAGCGATTTCTATGAAGGAAATTATGGAAGTTCATCAGGCTCTTAAAAGTGGTGCCGATATTGTCGTAGGAGATGATCCCTGGGTAATAGATTTGATCTATAGTTGGTTATTTTGTAATCATTCTCGGACACAATTTTTTAAATAATGTTTTGATACGTTAGGCATCCAAGATCATATCATATTCGAATTCCCTCACTAGTAATCATCCAATTTCACCACCTGAGAATAACGCGCCACCATTGAAGCCGACAACAAATATACAAGCAAGTGTGGCATTTTTGCAACGTGAAATAATGCTTCTAAGGAATGAATTGAATTTTGAATTTTATCTCAAACAACAACACCTTCAACATATCGGCCGATTACACCGCGATCATGTGTTAGATAGTACAGTTGAAGCCGAAAGACAAAATTTATATAATACCTGTAGAACATTAAGATCACAGTTATCAAATACTCAAGCTGCATTTAATAGGCAAAGAACCGAAACTGCTCATATTAAAAAAAAACACGTTCAATGGGAGGATGAATTAAATGGAAAATTAAAAAAATATAGAGAAGAGAAAAAGGAGTGGAAAGGTGTTTTGGATAAAGTCGAACAGGAACTGAGAGAGGCCAAGGTAGGGAGTTTGTTGTGTATAATTTATAATATAGTGTATATACTTAAAAACAAATTATTTTCATTTCTTGTTTTAGCTTATAATAGATGTGCAAAATAAGCAGATTGAAGAGATAAGTGCAAAGTGAGTAATATCATGCTGTATCAGGTTATATGACAGAATTTTCTTTTTAAATAATTGTTACCTATTACATTAGGAATTTCTCGCTTGAAAATCAAATCATTTTACATGAGCCACAACTTCAGAAATTAACAGAATACGAACAAAGGATCGATCAGTTGACAAAACAGCTTATCCTATGGTAAATCAAAAAGAAATAAAAATCGTAATTCATAAATTTAAATGAAATAATGGATTAATATAATAACTCATTATCATAGGGAAGCTGATACACGAAAATTCCAAGAGCAAAAAAGATTAATGGAATCTTTGGTAGGAAAATGGCATAAAATGGAAGTGATGTTGAAGGCTGGTGAACAGGAGATCAAACAGTTAAAATCCGTTATTAGGTGAGCAAGTTCTTCCCATGAAAACTTCTAATCCAATTAAGTTATATTAATCATCCGTATTGTTTACTAGTTCACAATCTTTTACCATTGATGATTTGAAGATTAAATTGGAGTATTACAAGAACATCTCAGGAGGACCTGGAAATGCAATGGAAAAACAGGTAATGACATCAATGAAATGTTTTATTTATTTCCGATCATATTTTTTTTGTTTGATTTGCTTTTATTAATTGTTTGATTTAATTTAATAATAGATAAGGATGTGGTCATTTGAAAGAGATAAGAGAGATAAGGAGTTTATAAAATTAGAAACTCGATTTGATCAAGTCAAAAAACAGAATGGAGAATTACAGGTATATCATATTTATCTGATGCGATTCTCTAATGTTATTCCTTGCCAGATAATAATTATTATTTATATTTGGTCATTAGTCACGCGTTATTGAATTATTGGCTCAAATTGAATCACTTTCACCTAAAACGGTAGCGAAGGAGGAAACAATTACTGAAGAAGCTGATCATAATAATATCAATAAAAAGAATGATGATGATGAAAAAGAAATTACAAATGAGATTGCTAAGAATGTCAATGAAGAGCCTGAGACTATGAACGATATTTCATAATTGACATTAACATATTTAAATTCAAAACTACAGAAAAATTTTGCAATTTGTAAATGAGAGAGAAATTACACAGAAGTTATGAATATCATAACTCGTATGTAAAATTATTTTCAAAATGTAATAAATGTAATAAATGTATCTGTACCAATTTGAAACCCAGCATTTTCTGTAATGGTTCGGTGCCCATGCACATCTTTACAGATTTTGTATCTTGGTCTACGGTTTCTAGATGCAAA